ATACAATTCCGAATCTTGAATTGTTAAGTCTTCAACATTAATAAATCGTATTTGATCTTTCGGTAAATGTTCACATCCTATTGGAAACCAACATTTAAATGTTGTTCCTTTATTTACTACAGAAGTTACAGTGATATCTCCATCATGACGTTTAATAAGTTCTTTAACAAGAGCGAGCCCTATTCCAGTTCCTTCATGACTACGTGAACCTTGTGATTCTACACGATAAAAGCGCTGGAATATATTTGGAAGGGCTATTTCCGGAATACCAACACCTAAATTAAAAAAAAACCAATCAGGCGATTCAAAAGTTTAACTGATAAATTTTATCTAAATCAATTTAGTATAAGTTTAGTAAAATAAAAATTTTATTAACCTGTATCTGACACTTCAAGAACTACCATTTTTTTATTATCTTTGTAGTCAATATATAAACGAATGTTTACATGTCCTTTCCAAGTATGCTTTAATGCATTAGAACCTTAACGAGAAAATTTTTCATTTTAGTTTTAATGAAAGGACTTTAAAAACCAATTTTTTTTCTTAACCAATAAACATCAAAAATATGCTTACAAAGTTAAAAACAATTGTTTCATACATATCATGATCTAAGTATATTCCATCATCTATTGCTTGATTAAATTCATCAGAATATGGAATATCGTTAATAAAATCCAAACCTAATGTTTTGGCCATATTTACAAAGTCTGAAACAAGTTCACGAGTAAATTCTGTTATATTAGTTTCTCGATATCTCGCATCAGATTGACCGGATTCTATATTTGAAAACTATATGTATAAAATATTCGAAAAAAGTATATATATGTAGTACATATTATCAAAGTTGTTAATAAAAATCGTAGTATAAATATATATAATTTACTTGCAACAAAATGTTAATAAGTTTAAGCAATCGATGAGAGTTACGTCGTATAGTTTGAAGATGTGACATTATTGGGGTTTCTTGCGAGCATGCATTAATTACATCATCAAGCGGTGAAAGCATTAAAGTTAACGGTGCTACATTATTAAAAGAGTGATTGAGTTAATATATAGAAATAACTTTTAAAAGAGACTTTTAAAAGAAACTGTTAAAAAAAACATTTTAATGATATAACATTACTTTTTAGTTCATGGCTAATGCCTTGAAAAAATGTGACCTTTTGATAGTTTAAATCAGCCAACATTTTAGACCGCAATTTTTCATCTTCTATTGTTTTTCCATGCAGTAGATTTGTATTCAATTGGTTTGAAATCAGCTGGTAAAATATAAACATATTTAATAAATATATTAATCATTTGAACTCCTGTATAATGTGAACTTTTGTATACTGCATACTTGTAAGAATTCCATATATTTCTCGTCAAGCGTGCGACACCGATTAATACCACAAATCAATATAACAGACAAAACTTTTTCTATCCCAATTTGAATTCTTGTCAAGAAGAGCACAGCTTGGCTTTCATCTTTTAACATAACTTTTACATGACCACCTTCTTTGATTACAAGATATAATGGCCAAGAATCATGTTTTAAGAATGAATAAGTAGCAGCAATTCTTTTTAATTCTATATAATCATTATAACTTTTATCAACATCATTGGTTAAGTTGACTATTTCGTGGGTTTCAGGAAAATAATCAGGAAATTTTCTTTCCTTTTTGTCATCTTCATCAAAGGTTGTGGCAACCAAACGAGCAATCAAGGGATCGGAATCATTATGGTTTAATTTATGCTCAACAAAATAAATTAACGCATAAGGAATGTCAGGATTATCATCATTTAAAATATTCTTCATAACATTGCAGGCACTTTCTATAGAATTAACCTCTTTAAAAAGTATTAAGTATATCAAAGAAAATATGTTAATATATTAAAATATAAAATCCGATAATCACAATATTAATAATAATTATATTATGTTTATGAGTACTAACTGGAAATCTGAGTTCCAAATTCACCAAGTAATTTTAATCTTCGAGCATTCAAATATTTTTGAGTGGTTTCTTGTACGGGACTAAATAAACCTGAGAATGTACCATCAGATTCAAAAATCGGGCTCAACGTATAATTAAAACAAGCCTCCTCAACATAACCGTCACGAGACAGTTCCAATCGTTCATCCTTTCTAAACATTCCTTTGCCTGTTGTTTTTATACTATATCAAAAAAAATGTTTTTTTATTTTATTTAGATATTACGAATGAAATATTCTTTAAATAATATTTACCTTTCAAATATTTCAATAAGATAATCATATATTTCATTCCAAACTATTTTAGCCGGTTTGCCTATTGCTATTTAATATTAAAATGATAAGTTGGCAAGGTTTATTATAAACTTATCAATATATGGGAAAAAAAATGCAATTAACCATCTGGGTGTTTAGTCTTTAATATTGGTCGATATCCTATTTAAGGATAAGATTAGAGATTTAAAGATAATCAAATAGGCCAAACTTATAAATCCTAAATTGTTTACCTTGATTATATATTAAAATCCATTCAGGACCAAGAAAAAGACAGATGGGAAACGCGGTATTGAGGCATAAATTCTAATATCGACACATGAATATTAAAAAAAGTTTCTTTTTTTATGTTTACAAATTATTGATTAATTTTGTAATTACCACAGCATTTTTGAGAGCAGGTTTCCATGAGTCCATAGGACCGAGAGAGGTCTTCGACCAGTCATAATTGTTTACCAAGTCAAATATGTTTGACACTTCGTTCTCTATATTAACATCGTCGTAAGTCAGAGATAGAGACATGTTTTGAAATATGAAATGAATGACAAAGTTATTAAGGATAATAACACAATAAAAAAATATTATTAATCCGTTTGGTAATTTAATTTTAATTATTCAAAGAATGACTATCTAGGTTTTCAACATTAGATATTTTTTTGGTAAGAATAAATATACGAATGTCGCCAAAAGGAATCACGTATATTTAAATGTGACATATGTTGTAAGTGGAACGGAATTTAAGTGTGATATTAGGTTTAAATAAAATTAAATATATATATACTCTAAATAATAAATATTAATTAATAATTCCAAATCCACAAAATTTCGTTATTATATGCAACAATTAACACTAGAATAAAAAGAATGTTACACCTGATTATTTCAAATCCACAAGATTTGTTACTAGTAATACCATACATGCAACAGAATGCATAAATACTTAAAAATTATCAATAGAATAAATGTTACGCATTTAAAGGAATTTTTACACCGATTATTTTGATAATTTTCATCGTTGTACATATAATTTAATTTGTTTTTGTGGACGGTGTGAAAGGGTATCTTGTTCTAACTTTAGTTTTTGTATTCAATTATTTCTAATATGTATCTAGGGTAGGGCAACCTACGTAACTTGTCTTTTTTTTTTTTTTTAAAAAAAAAAAAAGGGTTCATTTCTAGTCTACATCTAAGAATGGTAAAAAAAAAAAACATTTTTTATCAATTTAAAAGTGTGATAATTATGATCAAAATGCTGAAATTCGGTTATATTCAAAAAACAGTTAATATGGATAATGCTTTTGAAATGCTCAAGTCATTTATCGTTGTCTAAATAGAATTATTAATAAAAAAAGGAAGGCGCATATATAAAGACTAGACAGTATGATGATAATGAGATGATTGCTGAAATGAAATGCAGTAGTGTAAGAATAAACGAATTTCTAACAGCTTAAGTAACACTTTTAAATTTAATTAATGCTAATAATCCAACTTAACTTACATATTAATCAGACTTGCTATTTTCTCGTAATGCAATGATGAAAATTTTTCAATCGTATAGTTGATTAGATTTACGCGAATATGTCATACGTCGGAACGGAATTGTAGTCCAAGTTGATAGGAAATTTGAAAGCAACTTAAGTTGGCTCTAAACTTGATACTGTATAATCAATAAGTTGATTTTAAATTTGATACAGTAATAATGTATGAATAATAGTTAAAATTGTCAACGAGCAAAGTTTTTATTTTGCTTTTTTTTTATTCCACTTTTTGTTCTTTTCAGCACTCAAATAGGTGACATAAAGCCTTTATAACACATGAAAACTTTTTGTTTTTTGCATTAAGGTTCTACAAGATCCAGCAAACACAATGATCGAAGATGCGAGAGATCGAACTTATTAAATTTGACTTGTATTCATTGTGTTTCAACATTCATAAGCGTTCTAGATGCGTCTTCACAAGTAGGTAATATTAAATGCAATTGCAAAAATGTGTGTGGAAAAAACCATTGTAAATGTAAAAAAATTGAAAGTATCACTAATCATAAATAAGACTTTGTGTAATGTTTTCGAATTTAATTAATTTATAATATGCAATGTTATTAATAAACTCTATTAAATTCCAAAACAACAAACTCGATGAAATAATTTAATTGTGGTTGAAGCTGATTTGGAATTCTTTAACAACTTGGGCTCGGAATCAACCTAGGTGCATGCTAAATCTACAATAATCACATACTGACGTACGGCGTATATATTCAGAAAATAAATATATACGCGTGCAATGGAATATGTGATATTTATTACTAATAGATCACAACTTATTACAAATCCATAATCCGGGCAATTAGCTTACAGTAACCAATCAAAGAATATTCTCCTATGAGTTCTTCAAGTGTCAACCAACTAAATTATATGATCCATGACTACAGTATATCAAAATAAAGCTTATATCTATAGTTTAACATCTTTATTATCATATTCATTTCAAAATTATGCACCTCTATACAATTTGTTAATCGATAAATAAGAATTTTAAAAAACTGATAAATAAAAATTTCAGTCTAAACCGTTATTGAAACATGCTAATAATACACCAAGCAATTACATGAATTATAACAATTAATGAAATCCAAAGAAAAAAAACTGAATGAAGAAATAGAGCCGCTAATGTTCCATAAGTTATTATACAAGTATTTAAAATTATAATTATAATTGTACAACCAAATATGAAAATTTTACTTCTCTTCAAAAATTTCAGCGCTGTATTTATCATTAGATTATAATTATTATCAAAAGCTAATACTTCATATTCCTTAGCAATAAATATATTTGAATTGGTTATCTTATATTCATAATCTTCCGACTGACTACTCCAATAATTTGAAAATCCCATGCGTAAATCTGATTTTCCAAAGCAAGGTCCACATAATTCATTATTCCAAATAGCTTTATCTTTTTTTGCAATTTTTACTCGACTCAATACTGGATTTGATTGATCAGTAAATGAAAAAATAAAACTATTGGAAGTTTTACTAAAGTATGGTTTCGTATTTAATATAAAGCATTGCGTTGTGCTGAAAATAAAATTAAAAATCATTGTGCTAAAAAATCCAATAAGTCCATAATTATTTGCAACACTATGTACATTTATTTCATGAACTTGAAAGCGATCAATATGTTTTGTAGGTTTATTCCAACCTACAGGATTGTATCCACCTATTAATTCACCTGTGTTGGTTTTAAGCACTACAATTGTCGGACCTTGAAAATCACATAATTCATGAAATGTATCAATACTAAATCCATCTTTACTTCCACGTAATAAAAGTTTAAACTTATAAGGATCTGTAAGACAATTATAGTAATCTTTATCTTTTTTATCAATCCAGCTTGATATTATAGCTTTGTTTTTGTTGGTAATTAATCTAGAACATCTTCTTGGTGGAGTTTTTGATTTAACGAATGTATTAGAATCCAATTGGTAACATTTAATTTGTTTGTCAATATAATATTTGGGAATATAATAATATCGAATTAAGGGAATACAATGAGAGATAGTTTCTTTTAATGCATTGAAATGATCGTCAGACCATTCGTTGATATTTTCATCAGACCAATTTGTAATATTTTCATCCATAAGTTTAGAAATACCCCATTTAATTAAACAATTCCAAATTTCTATTTCTTCAAGCTCAAGATCATCACTTTCTAAAAGACATTTCAAGGCTAATTCATCTAATAAATGAAGATCAACTGAATCAAAAATAGAATAAGGATTTCTAAAAATAAAATTTTGAACGTAATCGTATAATTCATTAAAATGACTATAACGACAAATAATATTAAATGACTTTACTATATTAGAGAATAACCATGGTGAAAATTTATTAATTAAGTGCTTTTGTGCACATTCTGCAAGGTCAAGAAGTTCAAGTTCATCAGAAGCGACTAATATATTTAAAGAATTTTCTCCTGATGTTTGGCATATATTTTTTCCTGTGTAAATATAACTTTTAAAAATCAATTAATTAGCAAAAAAAATACATGATTACCATCTAATTAATAGATATCAAATTATATAACTCTTACTTAAGAATTGATTCAAAAATATCAGGTTGAATATTTGGTTTTGTAATAATAAAAAGGCCATGTTTTTGATCTTTCCATCGTTCTGATAAAGCTCTTTGAAAATAAAGAGAACGAGAACGTAAAACTGTTGAATGCGCACTAAATTCTTTAGTTTTTGATCCATTTCCAACAATTAATTTTACGTCGGTATCGCTATAAGAATCTGACATTTGAGTCAACCAAGATTAATGCGTACATACGTACATAATACAGATGTAATTTATAAATAGCATATATATTTTTTAAAGAATCGATCTACCAGATAACGTCATTACTTACAAATAAGGTAGAGTACCTGCACCGGCATGTAGGAAACCAGTTCCGGAACAAAATATGTCAAGATAAAGGTCATACAAACAAAAACAAAAACCAATACTACTCTAACTAAAACTTAATGCTAATAATGAATGCCTCAATTGAAGCATGGAAATGGCTGTTTTGTCATTAATATTTTAAGATTGATTACGAAATAGCGATAGGAACTGAGATTACTATCAAAGCTCATTTTATGAAATGAGCTTGTCTGTGAATTGATTGTTTGCAAAATAAAACTTATCTACAAATTATTTGTCTGAAATAAAATGGAGCATCGTCATTTAAAACATAGCATAGTGAGATTTATCATTTTCCGAAAATTGTCACACAAAGTGATAAATTATGAGATGTCTAATTATAACAATAGGGTGTTATCGATCAAAATTTTATTATCATAATAATTATAAATTATTAAGTTGTTACAAATAAATGTTATAATTAAATGTCTTCTAATGTGTAATGATTTTCGGAAAATCACTAAGCTACGTTTTGATTGACGACGCTTCATTTATTGTCTACAAAGTGAGCAACTTCGGTTTTGGTTTGTGTCATTGCTATGTTATATAACGACAACCGTAAATAATTTCTCAATTTATAACACATCAAATAATCCTAGAATTATGATCGATGAGTTTAGTTTTAAAAGGGATTATGAATACGGAGTTTGCGAAAAATTGTTCTCGATATAACACATCGCCAGCTTGGTGCCAAGCATTCGATCCTCAGAAGACAATACAAGGATGGACAAGTGAGAATGAGGTTATTGATAATTGTATTAAAGAATTTCAGCTTAAAGTAACAAAATACGAGGGTGGATTCCTTTTAATAGAATAGATAATATACCAGGAACGGAGTGTACAACGTACAACGTAGTGTATGGTTTGTGTACGAAATCTTGAATCTGATTGGATGACCAATCCTTGTGACTTCGAGTAGCTAAAAAAGGAAACGATATGATGAATGGAGCGCAACCGGTTTAATATAGCCTATGTAGGTGTTATACCCCAAATGACAATGAAAATTGGCCAAATATATCCCTAATGTCTGAGCTAAATTAATTCATAATTTGGCCAGATTGTCATTTGGAACAAATTGTCATTTGGGCTACGACATAGATATCTTATTTGAGTATGTGCAAGCATTCCAGATTTAAAGTCATGCCTTGTTTTCTAATTGTTTTATTCATGATTTTACCGGTTTTGACTATTGTATACATCGCATAATTTCTATAAAAAAAAAAAAAATGTTTACGTGTTTAAATTGGATTTGATAAAATAAGCAAATATAAGTTATGTCTTGTTTTTGATTATAACAGGAACGGAGTGCGAAGAAGTATGGTGAGTGATGTGTCTCTACGTTATATATGTATGATTCTAAAAATTTATTTATCCTTCTGCGATCTGCGCCACCATACATCACATGTCTAGTGATGTGCAATTTATATAATACGTATCCAAAATTTTTTTCGCGTATAGTACGTACAGTGCGTATCTAGCGATTTGATTAGCTGGTATAAAGCGACTGTAAATATTTCGTACCGTATTTTCTTTTTGGATGTGTCATATTGTACTTAAATTTAGGTGTACTATATTATATAACCGTACAGTACACCTTTTTATATTATATAGACAAGTACTGTATTGTAATGAAATAAAAATATATATAAATATCAGTACAGTACGGTCGGTATTACGAATAATTGTAATATATAGTTTAATCTTAGAGTATATTACAAAAAATGCATAAAACTATATTGATATAGCATATTATACTCATAATATATATATAATATATATATTATATATAAAATCAAGATTTTTATGAGTTTATTTAATATTTTTACAGAATAAAATCATCATGTAACATCAATGTTTTTTGTATCAAATTAATCAATAGATCAAATGACTGTTAGTAAATTTGGCAGTTGCAGTACATATTATATAAATTTGAAGCATTGCTATAAGTGGTATACTGTGTTATATCATTTTAAATTTTATACAATACAGTAGAAATTATCTTTAAATATATAGTATATTATTATGAGCTTGGCAGATAGTACAAATAGAGCATCGAATAGGAATTCAATAAGAAATTGGTCAATAAATGGAATATATGCAGAGTTATAAGGGTTGTTGCTTAGAAATATTAAGAAAAGTAGTATTTGTGATTACGAACAAGCTGGTTAGCAAGATTATTGAATGAATCATCTTCATGTGTAGTAACTTTATAAAAAGTGAATTGAATATTGTATGAGTTAATAAAGTTAATAAGAGTTTGTTAAATAAAGAAGTATGATGTATGAGTATGAGAAAGTTTAGAAGCTAATGAGCAGATACTGTGATACTTGGAGATTACAGATTATAAGTCAGTAAAGATGTGAACAGAACAGTTTTTGGGAGCAGTAATAATTGCTGAAAGGATAGCAAGGATTTCAGCTTTAAAAGAGTATAGTCAAAGTTTAACTTGTGTCTGAAATGAATGAATAGTTGTAGAGTTATCAACTTGAACCCAGCTTATGCCCATAGAGTATTGAGAAGTACCAAGCTCAATAACAGAACCATCAGTATAAAATGAGATAATAGTTAGGTTATATTTGAAATTAGCAATAGTTTGCAAACTGTTAGTAAGTTAGCATAATTGAAAGATACAAGATAATTGTTATAAATTAATTGTTAATGAAGGAGAAGGTGAAATATGTACAGAATGTTGAATAGCTACAGAGTATATAATATTAAGAAAGTTGGTATATAGGTTGAGAGTTTTGGCAGAATTAATATGACAAAGTAATTTAGTAGCCAAATTTGTAGAAATAAAGATGATGTATTTGTTAGTGATTGTATTGAAATTAAAATAGCATCTAGAGCATATGGTAGTAGTAGAGAGAGGAGTAAGATATGGGTTAGTAAACTGAAACTGAAATGAGCAGTACCAGTAAGTGATAAGAGTAAGGCCTATAGGACTATTATGGCTTCTGGTCTTACCAACAATGATTTGATTATTAAGAACAATAAATAACCAGGTCTTGGTATTGGAGTTAAAGTGATCAGTAATATAAGAAAAATAGTTTGATTGAGATAGGTTAAAATGATTATATAATAAACATTAATAGGAATGACTTGTAGTAATATTCTTAAGAGTAGTAAACCATTGAGATATAATACCTTTAGAGAGTTTGTTTAGTCTGGGAAAAATATAATGTCAATGTAATAAATATAAATTAATATAAATGTTAAGTTCATCGAGAAAGAGAAGTTTGTGATGTCTAAGTTGTTTTTTGAAAACAGGATATTTAAAATTAGAAGAGAGAAGAGATTCTAAAGAGATAATTCTATTATATAAAGTGTAAGGAATGTTATAAGTTGGATTAATTGAGAATGTCCAATTAATATGTTTAATAAGCTGTATAATTTTAAATTTATAGTTAGTTGGTTAGAACCATTAATAATTGGGTTGGAATAAGAGAAAATGCTGATTGAAGACCAAAGATTGTTTTGTAATTGTTGGATTCAAATATGAGTAGATGTGTCTAATAAATCAGGATTATTAAGTTATTTGAAAAGATTAGAAATATGGTGTTGTAGTTAAATGTTCCAAATATGTTTGATATTGTAAATTTGTAAATATAAAAGGATATTAGAAGGTATTGTATGACAAAATTTGACTTTAAGTTTGACAAGACCAATATACTGAGTAAAAATTTTGTTATAAGTTGACTAATTGATTACAATATTTTGAAATTGGTATTCAAGAATAGGAATGATTATTGTATTAATAATATAGCAAGTATATGAATCAGTAATATATTTGGTTTTAGTAATTTGAATGAGTTAAGAAGATTCAGAGATAAGTAATTTTGTTTATTTAAATTGTTTGTTATTCAAAGTGAACCAACAACCTAAAAATTTAAAAGATATTTTAGAAGAATATAGAGAAAGAAGATAGTTATTATAAGAAATAGATATATAATGAGGTGAAGGATTCTTGATAACCAGAATGGATTTTGAAGAGTTAACTTGAATATTGGCTATAGCATAAAAGGATTTATTTATAGATAACATATATGATAGTTCAGATTATAATGAGACAATTCAAAGAATATCATCCATATAAGCCAGAATAGAATATTTTTTTTGTAATAAATTAGATATTTGAAGTTTGAGATTAGTAGTCTAGAAGGATTGTAATTTGTAACCAGAAGTATTTGAGTATATATAGAAGATAAGTGGATCATAATAAATATATCATAACAAAGGAGTAATAATTTCATCTTGGTTGATATCATTGTGAACTGAATAGGATGAAGTTAAGCCAAGATTAGTTATAACTTGATTGTGATGATTAGTGAGAAGGTCAGAGAGAATGTTAATAGTAGATGAAGGAAATGAAAGATGAGAGAATATATGTTTAAAGAGAATAAAGTTAACAGAATCATAAGTTTTATTTATATCTTGTGAGAGTAACCAAATGTTCTTATGATTATAAGAAGTATTTTCAATAAGGTTATTAAGAATATGGATAGGAATTGAAGTACTGTTGTTAGAGAGAGTAACATAATTAAAAGATAAAAGAATTGAATGAGTTAAAAATATAGAGCTAAGTCAATTGGTAAGGATTTTGGTATAGAGCTTATGAATATGTTCGACAAGGCTAATAGGTCGAATAAGGTTAAGGTTATAATCAAAGATGTTTTGTTTAGGGATAGAATAAATGTAGTTATGTTTCTATTACTTGGGAATTCTGTTTTCAAGAAGGCAACAGTTAAAGAGAGCAATAATAGCAGAAATGCATTGAAGGCTAATATGTTTGAGTATTTCATAACTAATGCCTTTGGGACCATAGACTTTGTTATTAGGTA